AATATGCGTTTTTGCTGCCTGTTGCAGCGCTCTAGCGCTGCACGGCAAAAACGCATAAAAAAAACTCGGTTTTGGCACTCATGCTCAACGCAGTAACCCCTGCCGTATCAACACTTGTGACCGCCGCACATTCCACATAGGGTCATTCCTCTTAGAGTTCTGAGCTGGATAAAATATTTGAATTTTGGTCTTGCACACACACCCACACACATAAACGACTCTGTGTGTATAGGCGTGTATGTGTATGTGTGTATGTGTATGTATGTGTGTATATATGTGTGTGTGCATATGACTGAAAAGTGTGGACTTGTGTATATGTGTGTCTGCGTGTGCGTATGTATGTATGTCTACGTGTGTGCACGTGTACGTGTGCGTGCATACAAGCATGCAAACATATAGACGTGCACACATGCACACACACATACACACATACACACACATACACATACACGCACATCCTCATACTTATTCTACTCAATTCCAGCATTTATCATCCAGACTCTGCTATTACTCCCACCTAAAACACTGGCGATGCACAACGGCCCAAGCACTAGCATATCAACTCCCCTAGCGTGGGCCGTTTGCAGTGAGCTTCATCTCTTCCTTCATCTGCCTTGTTAAGAGTGAGGAGAGCGAAACCACCGCACTCGCTCCTTCCCTCCATCCAGGCCCTTCTTCCGTTAGCGTCTTGGCTCGTCTTTGGCCCGCTCTTCTCTGTTCCTGCACTCCTTCCCTCTCACTGCTAGCCCTCTCCCCGTCCTGTAATAATTTCTCCCTTCCCTCCCCTATCATGCTTTATTGCTGCTTTTCATAACTTTCCATAATACATATTCGGTTCACAGTCTAACTTGCCTGTTAAAGGTATTTTTTTTTCCGTCTGCTCGATTTGCAGAGTTACATTTTAGTCTGGCTCTTAAGGCTCTCGTCCGTAAATTTCAGGAAACAGCCCTTTTGCCGAAAATTAAAGTGTTGCTTTTGGCCAACTTGAAAAAAATCTCATGGTACGATTGCCTAAGCTACTGCTAGCCATTCTTTATAATACAAGATCAGTAAGCGGCTGGTAGTGAGGTTCGATGTTATTTCGATGCCCACTGCCTCTGCTAAGTACATACGTTATGTTTTTTGAGCCTGTGTGAGTGGTCATTTTTCATTTCTGAGAGACAGTGTTAAAGTGATGCCAGCAAATTTAACGTTGTACCTCACCAGATTTAATTTTTTGCCGTGTTCGCACCAACATTCATTTGTTTGTGGGCGCTGACCTGACAAAAATCTTATTGCTTAATCTGTTCACAAAAAGTGCACTCCAAAGCATCCTTCGTTCCGTTGTTGTCCAAATTCGTTTATTCTTGCTTATGTTGCGTATTGCACTCAATTTAGCACTGGAAAGGTGGGATTGCTCCCGACACTTCAGAGGCATTGGGGATATTACAGGATTAACATGACCCGCTGCGTCTTCGCTGTGCACTCTCGAACTGTAATTTTTTTTTTTTGTGACACATTTTTTTTTTTTTGTGCTTTCTCACCCAGGAAAGTTCCGACTTCCTTCAATTCCACTTTTTTGTCCTGCAATTTCCTGCTGCTGCTGCAGTGCCAAAAATTCCGCATCTTCTTCAAGCAGCTGATTTGATGTCTTATTTTGTTGTTTGCATATACACATATAACTCTCTTGGTCGATATTTTTTGCCCGTTCCGTTCTGGCTTCATTGCTGCTAATTGGCTTCGCACAATCCAGCATTGCTGTCACTCTGTTCGCTTGTGACTTTTGCTAATTGAACATCACTTCTATTCCGTGAAGTCGTGTTGAGTGCAAAATCTCCAGATACTTACACGCCAAACATCCGTCAAAACGACGCCTATTTTTCTTGACCACCTTCCGCCAATTAAGCTGGCAGCAAACCAAAACCCAGCTAGGCAATACACAGATCTCTAACTTTTCTGTTAGCCTGAAGCTGTTAGCATGAAAATGTCGCTCGTGTTTCGATATTGCCAAAAGCACAGTGAAAATACTCTGACTAGATTTCTCCGGGGAGAAGGGGATAAAGAAAGCAAAATCAAATTATGCGCCGCAAATCTCGGATTTTTTTGTTTGCCTGTCTTCCACTAAAATGTCGGATATTCGTCTATCCGAGGCAGGCACTGTAATCATCCTGTCTGTGTTTATTTGTGATTTGTGATTTAATGTTGTAGTAGATTTCGGCTTTTGAGGCGACTATTTACCCAGCATCGTGCGTGTTTTGCTTGCTGCTGATGAAAGGGTTCTGGGAC